GGAGTTTGTGCACACCTGAATCACATGCACGCCCCCTTTTTTTCCTCTGCTCTGTGCCTCAGACATAATAATCAGCTGTGATGACGCCGAGTATTTCCCTCTCTCCCTTCAAACAACTCGGCTCAATACGAGCAGACTCGCTAATGGCTGAATATTAAAAGAAAAATCAATGTTCCCTAAGATAGACCACAATATCTTTGATCAAAAAAACAACAACAGGAACATTTTGTCCAAAGGTTTTTCTATTGGAACACTGTGAAATTTCAGGGTTTTTTTTTTTTTTTTTTTGCTCTATCAAATAATGCAGACAATTTGTCAGAGATGGCCACATTAATTTTTGCCTCCAACACCGTGATGTTAGCTTACAGGCACTGATACTGTGCTCAGAAAGTCTTTAAACTGTCATACACGAGCCGACAAGAGACACATTCTTCCAAATACGGGACTTTTCAGCTGATAATAGAGGAAATGCTATTTGCCAAGAGCTTTGATCTACACCGCAGTATCATGACAGAGCTGAAGAAGCCAGCTGAACTAATTCTTCTGGCAGAGACGTGGTCTTTCAGATTATTCAAGAGTGGGCATTTGAAATAGCTGCCATGATAGTCCGAGTCCTACTCTTCATGCTGGCAGGATGCTGAATTCACCTCAAGGTGTTTGTGAGCACCAATAACACAATAACGTGTAGCTTGTTGGATGCAAGCAGTATGTGTTACAAATAAGAGGGGGTGGTGAGATGCATATAAATATCTTGTGTTTTTGTGAGCTAGAAAGGTTGCTCTGAAGTCTCACGCTGCACCACTCAACACTGCATCGACATCTGCCGGTTGCCCTTATCTCAATTTAATTAAAAACGTGACCCAAAGAAACACCAGCAGGTACCGAGGAAGTCACTGTGACATTTTATAAAGCGATTGCAGGTTAATTGGCAACACTTTGCAATCAGCACTTTGGGCTCTCTGATCATAATTATTAAGCATTTTATTTGTTTTTAAACACACTTCACACGCAAAAAAAAAAAAGATATGATCCTGAAAGTTAATAAGAGCAGTTACAAATTTCAAAATCACAGCTAAGAAAACATCCATGGTCTTGTTAGCAATTTGCTGCCACCTCCATTAGTCTCTTCTTTTGTCACAAAGAGGTGACATACAGGTTTAGCCACTCCCTGCATGAGTCTACTCAAACACCAACCAGAACAAGTGTTTTATGGCCATGGCGGAGAAATGAGGAGAAGGCTTGATAGCTGCAGCCTTCAGGGGCACTACTTTGTAGTTATATACACAGTTTAACACAGGGTCTGTTTTGTATTGGTGTAAACAGCCTTTCAGCAAATATAGGCTGAATAATAGCCTTAGGTAAATGCATTAAAATCATATGCTAATTAGCAATGTGTCCATCTAGCTTTTGTTTATTTAACCATGAGAAGCTGCTGGCTCCGGGTTACAGCATGCTAGTCTGATTAAAGCTATAATACTGAAGAGATATGTCAAGTTAGAGGTGTCACGGTAGCTGTGTACTGCATGATATTTGAAACTAAAAGATAAGTGCCATTGATGTACATATAATGTAACTACTTTTTTGTATAAATTTGTAAAGCCCAGTTCAATTATTCCATTTTATTTTATTTCATTTCATTTTATTTAAATGTTACCAAATCTCAACAAACGTCACTTCAAGCCTCTGCATATTGCAAAGTAGCCTTAACCGGGGATTTACAGCTCTGTGGTAAATTTACACCATAGGTACACTGTAACTGCAAAACCCTCTGAAACTCTGCGCCTTAACCTCACGTGCACCACACCAGAAACTGTCGATTCTTCCCGTGCATTTCTGGATACTTCTTCACCACAGTTTTTGAATTGATTAGTAGAGAACAGCAATCAATGCCTCATATATAAGAAAAGATATTTACAGTACCAGTACAAGGACTCACATGTGTCAGCAAATTCCGAGGGACATTCACAAAAATCAGAATAGATGTGAGGCAATGTACAAAGATGTGGAAAAACTTGAGGGACAAATGTGTTTCTCTAAGAAAAAAAAATGACCACAACAAAGAGCGAGGACCCAGAAGGCAAGAGAGTCCCAGCTTTCTATTTATTGTATTGTTGCTGGCACTGCATATGAAACATGACCACACAGTAATTAACACATAGAAATGGCCCCGAAGAGAAAACCCCAACCATCAGACAATTACCACATCTGTCAGCAACACTTGGGGACAGTGGGGAGGAAGAACTCCCTTTTGACAGGGAGAAACCTCCAGCAGAACCAGGGTGGGGCGGCCATCTGCCGAGACCAATTGCCGGTGAGGGGAGGACAACAGGACAAAAGACACACTGTGGAAATGCAAAGTGGTGTATAAACATACAGAGTGAAGAAGAAACACTGCATTGTGGGAAGGCTCCAGCAGCCTAGGCCGTAGGCAGCGTAACTAAGGGAAGATTTAGAGTCACCTGATCTAACCTTAACTATACGCTTTATCGAAAAGGAAAGTTTTAAGCCTGATCTTAAAAAAAAGAGAGTTAATGAACAATATTAAGGTTTAACTAGGATGAATTCTCTACACATGTGGCTACATTATCATTTTTGTGAAGCCAAATGCTGACATCAGGAGAGCCCCGAGTTGAAATAATTGATTACATCTGCGGAAAATAGATTTTTCCATCTTTTCCTCCATTAATGGACTGAAACCAGTGCCCAAAAATCACTAATAAACCTAACTGTGGATTTGGGGAATTATTGCGATTTTACAGTTACCCGGCCGGTAACTGTAAAATCTATGAATGTGTTATTCAGTTGGTTACAAAAAGCACATCCATGAAATTTAGTCAATCTTTTGAGAGTCTTGATGAAGCGTCGAGTCCATTTACGGAGTTTATTCCATGACAGCAAAGCGGGGGAGAGAGATCATTAAATGCTTCCGCTTTCTCAGACTGAGACGGGGGGAGATGCGATGGAAAAAACAACGCTTCACCTGTGCAGCACCGCTTTTGTTTAACCAGATTAAATGTCCCTCTGTGTAAAGACACCAACCTGGTGGAGGCCATCATCCATATTAATGCCACCTGCAACCCAACGCCAGTGAAAGTTGCTTATTGTGGAGTGTCTCTTTGACCCCTCTAGGAACTTCAAACACACACACACACACACACACACACACACACACACACACACACACACACACACAGAGTGAGGAAAGCTATCAGCCTAATGGAAAAGTAAAAGTGCTGCTAGGGTTGACTGATGCAAAGCAAACACAGAGAGACAGATAGGACAAGACAAGAGAAAGGTGGGATACACACAGGACATTCACACACATATACTCACACACACAGCCTGGAGAGGTAATAAAGGCAGTGTACTGTGCACACAACCACCCATGCAGACCACACCTCACTCACTCACTCACACACCAGAATTCACTGACTTACATTAGCACACAGGTACACACACATACACGCTAGGTGCTCTCCCAAGGCAAAACCCAGTGTCTCACATCTATCTCAGAAGATATGTGTAAGTTTAGCTTTGCCGTGCCTTACTCTTCATGAACACCTGGAGGTTATTTAACCTGGATTATGTACTGCTTGCATATACGGGCCAGATACTGAAATCCATGGCTCCTAAACATGCACAGAGTCACCCCACCAGCTGTGATGTTTCACCTTTATTGTCCGGCTGAACAGACAGCTACATGTCTTCAGGTTATTATAGAAAATCTAGTCTAATAGCTGCTGTAATGGAGGTTATAATGTTCAGGTTTTTATCAAAGTGTGTGTAGAAGTGTGCCAGTTCAACTGTGTGGTCACTTTGGAGGAGGCAGTTTGGGTTCATTTGCACTGCCTTATACTGAGAGGTGCTTCTATTAATACCAATATCAATTATCTTCTTTATTGATTAATCTGGCAGGTCATTTCTCAAGTAATCGTCTGATCCATAACACCAGACCTGAGCTGGCCAGTTGGAGAGGTGATGTCTTTATGCTGTTGCCCAAGTCAAGAACTCAAACCTTTTATAATATGTTAGGAAAAGGAGAAAGCAGCAAATTCCCATATTTGTTTCCCACTAAATATTATTTTTCATTATTGATTAAACAGCATTCCGGGACAAGGACGTGAAAAAGAGAATTTTGAGGAACTTTTAAGATTTTTAAACTAGAAAAGTCAGAATATTTAATATCTCCTTTCATCTCCAACCTCTAATATTTAACCCTCTCTGATAGGCAAGAGGTGGACAGAATATGAGCCACATAAAGATAAATCTCTGGAGATTCACCGCAGGGCTGATAGACCGCGTTGCATCGGCTTAATTCAGTGTAAAAATGTTTTAACAAGGGGGAATCTGTGCAGCACAAAGTCTAAAATCAGAAGAAGAAATGTGTTTTAAAGACGCCGCTTTAAAAGAAAATCTCCTCCTGACAGCACAGTGCACGTAGAGCTTTAACCCGGCGTTAATCTGCACACTTCCTGATCTCTGCCTAGTTATCGGAGCAGCAGCAGCTTGTGCTGACGTGCTCTACAGGCTAACCCCCTCCACCACCGGTACCTCCACCTCCCCCGGCCCTGCGAGACAGGCCAGCAGCGTTAAATTAATTACAACCCCCCTGTATGCTTGATTCCGCTGTCACATCAGCCGGCACCGTGAAGTGGTGAGCTGGGCTGCCTGGTGCAGACGCGCTCCGAGCCCCGGCACAGCGGGAGGTCTGTGTACGCCGACCAGCCAGGGAGTGAGCGAGCCATCCAGCCCCGCTACCCTTGTCCACACTCATCTCCAACCAAATCAATGCCTCGCCACTGATACAAGCAGGCCTTTTCCCCCTTTTTTTTCTTTAAAAAAACTAATTCCTCTCCGCATCGTGCAGCCGCAACCCCCCCGAGCCCCCAGAAAGGAAGAAAAGAGGCTCAACAGCGCCGAACCACAGCGCTCCATCTTCGCTTTGTCCTGGAAGAAAACCTCCACACGGACACAAAGCAGTCGAGGAAAGGAAATCCTACCTTTCGACTCAACGCTGTCCCCGAGTAGAAGTAGTAGGCTATCCCCAGCACCCACAGCACAGCAAAGCACAACAATATCCTTGATTTCCTCCGCATGGCTGCCTGGTTTTTGCGTCCCCCCGCCCGTGTGTGCGCTTCGCGGCTTCCCCTGCTCGGCTCTCCTTTCGGCTGTGAGCGGCGGCTTGTCCCGGTCTGCTGTGTCCGTGCAGGGCGCTTCGCCGAGCGGCTTCGGCAGGCTTCGTCAGTCGATCAGGCGGAGCGGAGCGAGCAGGAAGCAGCAAGCAAACATCAGCGAGGTTAGAGGGCAAAGGCTAGCCGACTCTAATCCAATCAAAACACCGGCCTGGAAGAGGGCCGGAGCCGTCAGCGAGTCAAGCTGTACCGAGCGGTTCCTTACTGAAACCGAGAAACAGGGGCTGGATAGTCCCCGAAGGAAATGACTTGTAAACGTTCAGTTATGTGTCTGTGGGAGCTGTGAGAGAGGACGTGTGATCATCGTGATTTCACTCTGTGTGGAGCCGCATACGCTCTAAGGAGTCGGTAGGGGCGCCAGAGATATCCTCCCTGCTGCAAACCGGGTATAAAAACTGAAAACGAAATCTTCCCGTTTAAACCTTTCATTGCCCTGACATGAACTGACCCATTAAAGGTAGAGACAGCGCAGAGGTTTTGTTTGTTTGTTTGTTTGTTTGCTTGTTTGTTTTTGGGGGGTTGAAGAGTTACTTCTTTTCCATGTCTCCTTCCTCCCCATGATGTTGCACATCGGAATAGGTTTATTTCAGTAAAAAGATCTGGGACAGCAAAGGAACAATGAGAACTGCATCCATTCCTTTAGATTGGTGTGAAATCCATAAAAATGAATCCCACAGTGGAACCTTTTGTGTCATTTCTCACTCATATTCGTATTTAATCTAATGAATGGTCAGAAAATAACAATACTGAGCTATTTTACTGTAAAATTAATTATTAATAATATTTTTTTCCATTAAAAATGCCAGACTTCTTCCCTTTGTAAACTTAAACTGTGACTATTTACTGCTTTTCCATCACTTGTATCCTAAAGCAAAAATCTTGAGTTCCTCAACATGTGGAGCCACTTTACAATATTGAAGTGGTTAAGATCTTCCTACCTTTGATCCTCCCAGGAACATTAAAGTTCATAATTGACGCCTCTTGGTCTAACAATAGGTTTTTGATTTTGAACTGCAGACAAACAATCAATTAATCCACTGATTAATCAATAAAGAGATTAATGAGTTTAAGTAGAACGTTAAAGCAGACAGTCACAGTCATTCTAAGCTTGTTAGCTGTGTCTTACCTCTGTGCTCAGACCAGTCTGGATGTAGCTGGTTGGTCCTGATAAGCTGTTGAAGTTAAAATCTGGTGTTTGAAAACAACTTATCGGTTCTTTTAAATCAGTAATCAGTGCTCATAGTGGCCTGGCTGCTTCCCAAAGGACATGTACTATAAATTTAAACATGTCCATGGAAACCTCAGACGCCTGTCTGCATTCATAAAGTGACTAACTATCACATCATCCATGCATTCAGTGACAAAAGATAAATCATGCTTAACTGGTTTTATTGAAAAACCTAATAAATTTTGTCTCCTGTATTAGCCAGAGTTTCTTTTTTTCTCCCCTGCAAGGGCAGGAAAAGCAGGAAAGACTAATTTATTTTCTTCCTCGTTTAAGGAGCGGAGGTATTGTGCAGCTAATGCATGTGCATGTGTCCTAGAGGAACTTGACCTCATCCATCCACTCATGCATCCATTCATCCGTCTTATTATTTTGTAAGCACGATTCACGTACAGTATGATTTTCAGTATGGTCTTTCTTAAATAGGAAGAACAATTTCAATCTTTTATATTTTCCTTTTTTGCATGTCAGATATTCTGAAATGGTAAATGTATTGGTTCCCATGTTGCACTTTTCTAATCTACTTGAGCACTTATGCACTTTATACAACATGCCTCATTCACAAGCTCTTCTGAGCGGCTGCACCAAGCCCAGCAAGACGAATAAGGGTTTTGTGAGGCATGCAAAGCTGCTTTAGTAGAGTCCAACAACAAGAATATGGATCTGGAAATGAGTATTATAGGTTCCCTTTAAATTTCCTCAAATGTGCAGTATGTCATCACCTCCCCAGTATCTTTAGACTAATGAGAGGAGCAGTGAAAAACGTGACAACGATGGAAGAAAATCGTGCGCTTAGACTCCTTTGCTCACAGTAAAACGCTTTCAGAGGCTTTAAGCAGTCGAAATCCATAAAACTGCAAAACTTTCAGACACAAAGAAAAGGAAACATTCGTCCTGCCTAAAATTGTTAACATTTTTAAAACACAGTTGAAATAGACTTTTCTATGGTCTGCAGCACTCAGACCAACTCTCTCTGACATCGAGCTCAGCTGGAACACCCCTGGCTAAACTAAAAGGTCTAGCTCATGTTCTGCGTGGTTCAATCTGCCTCTGACATTTTTCATTTTAATGGTGACAAAATGAGATTTTGACTGGAGAGCAAAATGCTTCTCGGTCCAAGAAAAGCAAAAAAGAAAGAGATCCTATCAATACACACACTGTGCTTTTCTCCAAAGATGTCCCAGCAGATGTCCCAGCAGTACACACAGAGACAGACGCACATGCAGAAAAACACACATTTACTCAGCGCTGCTCTCGCTATGGTGGTCTGAGAAGAGACTCGGTGTGTTTATGTTACCTACAGTAGTTTTAAAGTATGGATGGATGGAAGTCAAACTGAGAGAACGGGGAGGAGGACTAAGAAGCACAGAAACAGATGTGCTTATTTAGCAGCACTGAAGTAAAAGAGGTTTTTATGTTTTGCCCTTTTGCCTCCGATGCCCTGATTAGCTCTTATGAGAATCTCAAGTTACCCCCGAAGGGGTCAGTTTGGCTCTAGGATTTCAGATAAAGATCAGCAGCAACAAGTGACATCTTTTTGGCTTTGATCATGGCTGTGAAGCTGTTATGCAGCAAGAAAATGTCATGTCTAACTTTGTTAAATCATGTTGTTGTCTTCTTGGTCTTATTTTTTTTAAAGGCCTGTGCAGCAGCCATTAAACAAGAACAAGTGTGGTGTATTTTATCATTTTATGTTATGATAATATATATACACAGGAACTTAATTATATGCAAATTACAGTCTGTTTTGGCTTTTGGATTAAAGCTGAAATCTAAAAACTGTAATTAAAGGATCAGTGAAACATGACGAAACCATCCGAGGGAAGTTTTTAATTTTACAAAATAAGCCACATTTAATGGGCAAATTTCCAAAGATGGCAACAATATGATAACAGGAAGTAGAATCCCAGGCTTTCTGATACTCTGTGCAAATTTGTTAGTTAAATCTAACGTTATAAACACAGAGGAGAAAGAGTTGCACGGAGAATAACAGTCAGAGGATTAAGTGCAACCAAATTACAGCTGACTAATTTTGTTCATTGTTTCTATGATTAGAGCTCTTTTGTTTCCACAAGTTCACACCCCTGTGTTTGTTATCACTGTATAAATAAGTGCTGAATGGAGCGAACACACTGGTGTAGTTCATGGTTTAGAAAAATAAGCCTCAGATTTTAATTCACATGCCTTTAAAACCTGCTGTGAAGTGGCAGCGGAATATGAGCTCATTCACTTAAAGTGCAGGTGGTTCAACATTAGCTGAGCTGGGAGGACTGTTTAAAACTTACTGCTGCCAAGAAAAAAAGGGATTTTCTTCCCCAGGTCTGGAACATGGAGGAATGGATCCAGTTTTGAAATATCCCAGTGCAACTGCCAACTATTTGTCAGACTCAGAGATGAATTGTGCAAGTATTTTTCAAGCTGTGGTGACCGGGGACTGCTTTCTTAATGACAAAGTTTCCAGATCCATCGTACTTTACGATTAGTGTGTACCGATCCTTCAAGCTGACTTGCCAGAGATAAACTAAGGCCATCAGTTACTTTCAGTGTCAGCTGGCTCTTTGGGCATCGCTAGAGTCATTACAGAGTCTGCTTTTCTTCCAGACATATATGCAGTATTTAGACAGCGATTACACGAAAAACCTGAATGTTTGACTCCCACAGTGAGGTCACATACTGCGAGGCCATGTCGTACACCTCTTCAACTGCTTGTTAACTCAAATATCTAATTAGATAATCACACGGTTGCAACTCAGTGCGTTTAGACATGCAGACATAGTCCAGACAACCTGCTCAAGTTCAAACCAAGAATAGGAAAGAAAGGTGATGTCAGTGCCTTTTGAATGTAGGCTGTTGGTGCCAAACATGCTGGTCTGAGTATTTCAGAATCTGCTGATTTGCAGGGATTTTCCAACATAACCATCTCTAAGGTTTATGGAGATGGTTAATATCCTGTTAGCGCCACTTCTCTGGGTGAAAATGCCTATTTGATTTGAAGGCCTAGTTTGCCTTGTATCAGTAGTTCAGGCAGATGGTGGTGGTGTAATAGTGTGAGGAATATTCTCTTGATAGACTTTGGGCCCCATAGTACCAATTGAGCACCATATACAGCTTGTCTGAGTATAGTTGCTGACCATATCCATCCTGTTACGATCACAGTGTACCGATCTTCCGATGCCTGCAGCAGGATGGCGTTCCATGCATCATGATTGGCATCATGGCTGTGCAGCTGACAGAGCTGCAGCAACTGTGTGATGCTGTTATGTTAGTATGTTGAATTTATGGTTCTGAAGGAAAAAGAGGGTACAACCTAACCCTAATGACCTAATGAAGCAGCTTTTGAGTGTATATTAAGATGTGGTGAATCCTACAGCGAGGCGATCCAGTGGCTGTCTTATGCTGTGGGGGTCATACAGTTAGCCTTTACTCCAGGGCGAATCATTTCTGTTCTGCACACACATCTTTGTTCTATATATAGACCCTAAAAGCAAACTTGCTCTGACACGCTGCTGGTTTGCAAAATCTAGTGACCCACACATTTTTTTTAAAAGGTGCGGCCTCTTCAGACTTCATACCTCACACCTTCAGAGCTTTCAAGGAGCCAGAAGAAGTCAGAAAGAGTCAAAACAACAGCATCCAGTGTTTCTGAGAACAGCTGAAGACGTGCACGGGAAAACCTTTAACAAGACATTTCCTGTCTCCGTTGTTACCTGCAGTTTATGCCTCATTTGTGAAGCTTTTACCGAGGCAAGCGGTACCTCAAGGGAACGAGGTTTATAAAAAAAATAATTCTCTTGATCTGCGCTGTGACACTCCTGTGAATAAAAACGTTTTCCATTTATGCCATTAACGCAGAACCTGGAAGACGGGAGTTTTCAGACTGATCGATGCATTATGAGAGGGTAAGTTCTGTACACGCAGGCACAGTGATGACGAGTCCATTTAGTACTTTTAAAAACACGTTTATCTGACTACTTAGGGTTGTAATGTGGCACACCCAAAATGCATGGCCACTTTTGTGTTAATCATTTAATTTAATTTATTTAATTTGTTCATCAGTTATTTTCTGTGGCTATTAATATCCAAATTGACTTTGGTAACATGACCAATTTAACCAGTGTATTATTTTGTCACATGAACTGTACAGAAGGTACAAAAAAATGGAGCAACACCTCAGGTGGAACTATTATTTCAAGGCAGGTGCAACCCAGTTGCTTTAGGGGGATGGATTTCCGCCCACTATTCAGATGCAATCTGAGAGGCAAACAGAGTGCACTGTCTTCATTGCTCCTGAACTTTACCTGTATTTTCAGGTTAGTACCTGGTAAAAATTACTACCACTGTTTGTTACATAGCAATGTTTTATCTCCATGCTAAGTTGTAAAGAAGTAAGACAGTACCTGTAACACTTATGGGCACAGCCGCACGTTTGACCCGCATCAGTGTGAGACAGCGGGGTCAGGCTGCGCAGGCCGCTAGCAGAAACGTCGCGGTAATGTTTTGTACTGTGGGTCGTAGCGCCCAGAGCATTGTCTTGTAGGAAGGTCATTCATATAGATTTATTTTCTTTTCATTATGAAGGTTGGTACTCCCGCACACTTTACTATTTTATATAAAGTTTATGATACAAAGATGTTTTATTGTTAAAGTGTCATTGAGGTTTGGAAAAGTATAAAGCTGTTTAATATGTGAGTGTTAATGACATGTGAAATAGAAAGAAGTTGCCCATGTTATGCAAAAGTGAGTTTCATCTTCAGGGTGTTGTAAATGTGTGTTTATTTTTGCTCAATTTCAGTATTCAGAACCGGTACAGTTGTCCACTTTAATTTCAACCAGATAAGAGTGTGGT